ATTGGCGGCTCCTCCAGAGGAACTCAGCTCCATGAGTAAGTAAGTAAGTAAGTAGGGATGAACAATAAAATAAACATATTTAAATCTCTTGAATTTATTCATAATTTCTAAATTCACCGAAGTTATTAGTTTCCTTCGTCAAAGAACATGAATAAGTTATTTTATTTCTTCATCTTGAGTTCGAGATCTTGAATGCCCTCTATATGAAACTATTGAAATTATAAAGCGCTGTCTTCATATAAGCTATGCCTATTCAGTCTACTTTCATTAAACGTAATAATTAAGCCGGTCTTTAATGAAACTGGAAGTTCAATCTGTCACACTTTCCAGCTGTGCCAATCTTGCACACGAATTGTATACAAACTTTCAAACTTGACGTATTGTATTAACTTCGAGGAGACAGCCAGAAGGCTGCAAGTTTGTTTTGAGTCGAAAAGGAAACGAGCAGACCGAAACAGATTGACAGAGGGGCGCGCCCATGTATGAATATATTTTATATACATCCCCGAATTTTCCTGCCTTTGTGAAACAGATTCACCGAACGTCAAGGGCGCCTTCACATTCAGCAGTTCTTCTGGTCGGAACTCCGCTCGGAAGCTGTTCCTCTGACTGAACTTGTTCGTAGCTCTCATGGACATGAACTCCAATCAGACAAGAACGCTCGCTTTCCATTTTCGTATTCATAAATTGCCCCTACATACTACCTTATATAATTCAATTAGTTTAAGAAATGTAGATAAATATTGTGGCTTACAGATCGTTGCTAAACAGTGACTCTGTAAACAGTGACGGTTGCTCGGTAACGCACGCAACAATAGAACAACGCAGTTATGCAAACCACTTCTAAGCAACGGATCGGTAAACACTCATACAACAATAGGGGTATTGTTGGAAATGGTGTTTTATATTAGGTCCTTGCAAAGCGGCTATAAAGAAGAGTTCAGTTGAGAACCGGTCTTCGAGTTCCGGAGTTCCAAGCGAGCAGTTAGTCTAGAATTGAGCTCTGCGAAGGAGGCCGAGAAGATGGAGCTGTGAGCTCATGTGTGGAGTGTTAAGCAGCGGACAAAGGCGTAACCACGGAAGCTGAAGAATCTCCAGTGTTAAGATGGGTTACCAGGAAACGTCTAGTGAACACACTGCAGAGGAATAGCCATTATTGAGAGCTGTTACCAAACAACGACCAGTGGAAGCAGACTGAGAAGACTTAACGTGGAGTGATCTGTAGTGTGGAAATCAGCAATAGTGTTGTAGTTATTTGTGGTTCTGAGTGGTGTATATAACTGTTCAATAAATCCAATTCCTTCAATCCACACCCCGTCTATAGTCACACCCCAAATATGTGACAATAATTTAATAATCATACCATCTTGTTATGCCGCTGAATTCTACTAATATTTACATATTCTGTGCACGAAGTTCATAAAATGAAAGCATAATTGGCAGGTAATACGTGCCTGCCTATCCTGTTGCAGACATCATCCTCCGTACAATTTAAAGAATTTTGATTGCATTTGGTATTGGTATTTCCGAGTACACAAAGTGGCAGCACAGTTTTCATGTATTTGCAGAAATAACTTGTAATAACTACTTTCGACGTAGCTCGGATGGAATTATATCAGATTTTTAGAGTGTGAGTCGTTCTACAGCACAAACAAACCCAACACAAAAAATAGATCTATAACATTCATTTGCACTCGCTTCGATGTTACGCACAGAGTTGCCTGGAAGTCTGTTATGTGGTTAGTTAAAAATGCGTTAAAATACGTTAGACATTTCTTTATTAATAAAAATTACTCGAAATGAGATTCTCCACATTCAATTCACAAATAAAAACGCTCCGTTGCTTTTATATAAATTGCTTTTTAGTTTTAAATTTTAACATTACAGCTAATATGAGAGACTATTTTAACTTACCTGATTTCCGACCCCCTCTATGTTTAGAGAAACACAAGAAAAATACTGGTCAGGGAACTGAGTCAATAAACTTTTATTGGAACATATTCAAATATGACGGCCAACGAAATAGAAGGAAAAAGTCTATGAAGTGTAACAAAATCTTCAATAAACGAACACGATGTCATGACATATACAGACTTAACAAGAGAATATGTGCACGGTATTGGAGCATAACTTTGCACTCTGCCATGAACCTATGCCAATAACTGCTTCCAGATAACGTTTCATTTTAGAACCCGTATATTGATCGGTGTAGGATTTGGGAACAACGTAATATTAAGAGACTTATCATCCGGGACATAGCGTAAACGTAGTCCGTTGAAAGATGACCTACGTGCAGGAGGAACATGTCGCTTACATCTTCAGCAGGTAGCAGGCAGAGTTTGCTCTTCTTGTTAACTGCTTCACGCTGATTTCTTACTTGGCCTATTCTTCGATCCTGAAAATGGAGGCGACATATTCCTCCGAAATATCAGTTAACTTTCGGCAGACTATACATCATTATACCCCAGAAGACAGAATTCTTCATAACCACCGTTGAGAAAACCTAAAATCCTACAAAATGCATAATTTCATATTTTTAGGAAATGCAACTACTGATCTCCGAAATTTACAAATAAAGGACCTTCATCTCACCTGTAAATCCGTGTAACAGACGTCGCTATGTAAGATTGTACGCGTACTACTCACTAAGTTATTTTGTTCTCAGTAACTGTCACGTACTTACATCAGTGGAACATCTAGTTCTGAAAAGTATCAATCAAAGAACTACATGTCGGAATGTCGCGGAATCGAATCCCGATGAGGTGAATTTTTTCAATTGACCTAATCCTTCCAGCCGCACCATGGCCCTGGGGTCGACTCAGTCTCTAACAAAAATAAGTACCAGGAATATTCTTGGGAGTAAAGAGGCCGGCGCGCTAGGCTGACAACCTTACCGCCATCTATGAGCCGATTGTCTAGAAAAGGCGGGAACCTCAACATCTCACAACACTATGGGCCTCCAAAACTTGTTACAGGGATAGCTTTACTTACTTTTTTTTATTGCTAGTGAGGTGGGACTAAATTCCTTCTACTGCGGTCACTTCTGGCCTACTGTACCAGCACCAGATGATAGGTGAGGGTGATTGTGGAGCAATTGGTGAAATGAAGATTGGCAGGGGAAACCGAAGTACTCGGAGAAAACCTGCCCCAGCCCCACTTTGTCCACCAAAAATCCCACTTGACCAGACCCGGGATCGAACCTGGGATGCCGCAGTGGGAAGCCAGCGACTAACCACTTGAGCTATGGCGCGACCCTACTTACTTACTTACTACCAACCGAAGAAAAAGATGCAACTTAATTTTCTGTATTAAATGATAACGAAGATAAGAACGAAAATATTGCCAATTGAATTTCAATTAGATGTTCTAGTTCTGCTAAGATAAAGTTGTCCCTGTGCTTAATAAATGAAGCCCATACCATGAAAACGTATGGAGAATTGGAGATATAGCTCCAGCATTCTTACCATCGACACTGGATTGAGTTGAGTGGTCAGTTTCACGCCCCAGCCACTTCACCGCCTTAGAAAGAGCCCGCTGCACCCATTGACTGGGAAGCTGGGTGATTTCCAGAGCCTGTCTGGGTGCAGTGGAAAAGTGAAAATATGTTATCCCTTCCGGGAATCAGACACTGAGACCTCGAACGTCCAGCCTATAGCCCGTCCCTATACCGACTGAGCTGTCGCGGCTCCCGTTCTTCTGGTAAATAATTTGCCAACTGTGTAGGAGAAGAATTCTTCCGGAGAAATCTATAGTCGTTCAAACGGTAAACAATATCTTCGTTTTTCTTTAATTCAAATCTTAATTACTGCATCCCCAAGCGCTTATCACTGACTGAATTAAAGCCAACTGAATGCAGTCCACAATCTCATACTTCCTCTCACTAATATTCCATTTTAATAATATCCTCTTATGTACGTCTAGATCTTCCAAATATTTCTTCGATCAGTATTTTGACTTAAATTGTTTAGGCATATTTCACGTACTTATACGTTATACATGTCCCTTCCATCTCACCCTGCTTCATTTGCTCATTCAACTTACACGAGTCAATCAAATTCTACTCACTTTTATTAAATGTCGCTAAGGGTCGATGATTCAGTCGTTACCGAGTAAAACAATTACCCCAAAAGTCGCTACAATATCAGAAGGGATGGTTACACAAATGAATAGAATGAATAAAAAGATGACGCCATAATCTCACTGATATGAATCATACATTAGTTGCCATATGATAGGACGTGAACTACACAGATAGTCGGAAAAATGTATTCTCTTCTAAAGCCGTCATACCTCGTATGAGCCGGGAAAGCTCAGTCAATAAAGTGTACAGCTTAGTTCTATAAGGTAGGCCGCACACCGGCATGCGTCAAGACATATAACAGTCAAGACACGATGTCTGCGACATGACGCAAAGTAAGGAGCACAGTTGAGACGAATGAGATTATGAAGACCGACGCACACCGGTCTGTGTCATGATGCTGACCAGTCACGAATGAAACAAGACTGCGTCTTTTGTCTCATGTCATGATGCTTGTCTTGACTCAGTTGGTGTGCGGCCGCCCTAAAAGCGACCAGGTTGAATTTCCAGCAGGGGCGGTAACAGTTGGCTTCGTACCCCTCCCCCTGTCTAGTGATACAGGGGGATTTTTTACTGGGATAAAACGACCGAAGCCTATAAGCATCCATGGCGTATCTAGGCACAAGACAACTCTAATTTATACTCTAAACTGAGTTTCGCGAGAAAATGAATATCAAGACGAGAGAAAATGTCAGTCATCTTGACGCTGGAGGAAGTTCACATGAAGGAAATACGTAAATACGTACACAGAGAGAACACAATTGTCAAGCTGGGAAACAGCCCGCCCGCCCGCATTCGAAGGGTTCGTCTTCTTTCCGTACCTCGTGGCTCTTTCGCGCATGCGTTCTTGCTTGCTAGAGGGAACACAGTCGACGGCGGTAGACGGTGAACGCATGGTGGTCAGTTCTCGCCCGGTGGAGACGCCAGGCGCCACGACGCGACGCATAAGAGTGAAATTTTCTACGCTATTTCTTCACCTTGGCATAATATATTTCGTTCTGTAAGAAGTGTAAACGTGGTAGTGTTTTTATGAAAGGTGTAATTTAAATTCAAGGATGCTTCCATTTAGACCCGTTGTTTAATAAATCTATATCAAAATTACCGCAGAGACAAAGAGGAAATATTTTGCTATATTTATTCAAGTCAATTATTAAGACAGTAACTAAAATTTTTCTTGGAAAGAAGTGAACGCTTAAATTTCAAAGATGATCGTTACTTATATTAACGTAACGAATACAGCATGTCCAACTCCCTGGGTGTATATTTAGAAATAATTCATAAAGGATAAGGCAGAAATCACTGAATAGAATAACGTCGATGTGTTTGAAGGAGGTGAATTGAACTGTCAGTTGTTGATTGATGTATCTGTATTTCTAGGAGATACTTTTATATGGAGAATGTGTGTGGGAGCAGAAGGAGAACAACCCGACTGACAAATGGCGTGCAATTTGTCAGGGAATAAGGGCACTCATTTATTGTACGTCTCAGCGCAATACTTCCGAAAGTAGTCATTTGTTTCATTGTGATTGCAAAACATTCCTCGTAACTGTACTACTTCTAACAAAGAAGATACAGCGGGAATTTTCCTCGAAGCTTTCTAGCAGATGGACGGAACTGTGTAAATTCTATTCGAGTATTTCGATTGCATAGAGAATACAAATAAAAATGAGAGAAAATAATATTCTTATTATCTTTGATGTGTTTAAAATTGTCATCTAGAAAATTAATTGAGTCTAGCAACTCGGTTAGAAAATACACTTCAAGGAGAACAGAAAGTTTCTTGCAGGTGAGTGGTACTATATTTGTGGGGCACCTTGTGCTTGTGATGTCCGACGTCAGGACATGTTCCCAGGAGACCGCCTGCATGACGACAAGCAAGACTTCTTCTCAGTCGGTTGCGAGGAGCAAGAAAAATTTTCAGAGGACCAAGACGTGTCTGTTTTCCAGAAAAGTTTGTTCTCTAGAATTCAGCAACTTGACGTCATTCAGCGTCAGAGAGTATTATCCTCAAGGGATCATGCCACTCAGAATCTTGCTCAAGAACTGTTCGGGAGTAGTGTCACTCAGCAAAATCTTCATGAATTGCTCACAGGAGGTAGTTCCTCCCAAGAAACATTCCGAACAGAACAGGACACCAACCTCGACTTGTTTCCAGGAGGCCGTAATTACAAACATCAAGGTGTGTTTCCAGAAGACAGTGTCGCCAACTTACAGGATGAAAATGTATTTTCAGAAGATTATAATACTCAGCAGACTGCACTTTCCGAAACGTGTGTTAACAAACCGTTTGACGAAGTGACGGTTGCGGGATGCAGGCACGATCAAAGCAGTGTTGAAGACAACATTTCAGGAGCTCGCGACAAGCAAAATACGTCCTCAACTGTCAATGTTACACGGCGTGTGGGGCAGAATGATCTAACTGGAAGTCTTGCTGATCAGCAGTGCGTTTTCTCTGAAGGCCATGCAACCAGACAAGGTGTGATTTCGGGAGAGCGTATTCTTGAGCAAGGAGTGTTCACCGAAGGCCGTCTTAGCCAGAGACTCGACATCCGAACGGCCCCTCGCCAACTGGATATGGGTAAGCGATAAATCACGACTATAAAACGTACGAATAGCCATTTGAAACGGAGTTCTTGTAAGACAACCGACAGTCAAATAAAAAATTCTTGCGTGCCTTAAGTAAAATTTATGAGAAAGAAGAACAGTGCTAGTGCAGGACATGTATGTACAATAGATGATAAAAATTCTAATATTTATTACTTTTTCACTCTCCGCGAGATGAAAATTTAATTTAACAGTATTTTGATACATGTTTTGGTTTTCTAGAAAACCGTCATCAAGCAAATACACAATTAACCTGTTTTTAAGTTATTGAATTGCATACTATATAATTCAGCTCAGTGTTGGATTTTCAACAATATACCATAATATAATAATATAGAAGATAAAATTCAATAAAAGATAAAGATTTTAAAAGAGATATTTTACATAATTGAAGTTTAATTAGGAACTATACCTATAATATGTCATATTAAGGTATGTTGGTACAATCGTAAAAATGAAAAACAGATCATTATTTTCAGGAACGAAGTCCCGGGACTAAATTAACGAAGCGTTTAATGCTTATGTAAATTTCGTCCATGCTGTGTATATTTATATTGGTGAAAAGTTCTTCCTGTCCTGTTCTAAAACGGTTCTACCCAATTGAATCATTACACCTGAAACGCCCCAAGAGCTGTGTTTAGTTAAGATGTTTGCTTGCTCATAAACAATAGGCTTCAAAGGCTTCCAGTTCAATCGTAGTTGTTACAGGTGCCATTTTCCTATCAGCAGTTCTGCGATAGAATTCTCTTTTATAACAAGAGTAGAAAGGTGGACGCTTTGGTCTAGTCACAATTTCCAAATACACCTTTATGATCCTCTCTCTCTCGCGCTATCTCTCTCTCTCTCTCTCTCTCTATATATATATATATATATATATAGCTGGGATTACTGTAGATTTAGTGCTACTGAAAATCTTATGGCGGGCAGTTAAATATTATTTCTTCATATAATACTAATGAAACGTGTAATGCCGCTGATATAAATCTTATAAGGGACATATTTCTGAAATAAGATGTACTCAACGCACTTTCTGTTTCACTCACTCATTCATGGAGCTGAGCCCTTCTTGAGAACCCGAAGGTTTATTACCGTGTTCACAAGAGCCCTCCATGGGTCCCTAACATGAGCCAGATCATTCCAATCCATACCATCCCATTCTATCTCTCTAAGATCCATTTTAATATTGTTCACGTACCTACGCCTTGGTCTTTCCAATTGTCTCTTTCCTTCCTATATTCATTCCTTTTCTCCCCATTTGTGCTACACGCCCTGCCCATCTCATTCTCCTTCTCTTATCACTCTAATTATATTTGGAGTAGAGTAAAGTGGGACTTTCTGTTTACGATTCAATATAGTTGCTATAGCGTGTCACAACTCATTAAGGCGCGTCCACATTACTCGTGCTCGTGCGCGTGTGACTCGCGAGTAATGTGGACGATATAACAGGTCACGAGACAAGCAAATTTTTAATTTTTAATTTAATAACTATAGCCAATAAATTAAAACACGACTACAGCCTATACACACTACGAGTAAATACACGGATCCTCACGCGCCGAAGCCTGGCGAGCAACTGAAGTAGTGTGGACGACGATTTAAGGGCACAAGTAAAAGCCAGACGAGACTCCCGACGAGCATGAGCACGAGTAATGTGGACGCGCCTTTAGACTTATAACCTGAGTAGATGAATCACACTAACTATCGCTATTTTGTCAACAAAATTAAATTACCGACGGCATTATCGTTTAAATACGTGACCACGTAGTTTCCTATATTGTCATCATCAGTAATCTGTCAGACGACAGGTCCACAGTCTCTTCCAAAACAATTCCTCCACTTAATACGATCTACAGCTTTCTCCTTCAAATGACAGTATCCTCTTCTGTCCCCAAGGTCATCTAGCATCTTCTTACGTCTTCTTCCTCGTCTTCTTGTCACTTCTATCCGCCCCTCTATCTTTCCTTCGATGACTTCTTTTAGAAGGCAGTTTCTGCGTAAAACATGACCAATCCAATTAGCCTTCCGTTTTCTTATTTCGTGTAGGATATTCCTCTGCTCACTGACTCTAATCAACACTTCTTCATTTCTCACATAATCGGTCCAACTGATCTTCTCCATCCTTCTCCAACACCACATTTCAAAACTTTCCAGATGTTTCTGATCTACTGCCCTAAGTGTTCATGTTTCAGCCCCATACAGAGCTATGCTCCAAATGTAGCATTTCACTAGTTTCTTCCTCAAATTTAAGTCCAATTTGCTGGTAAAAAGATTCTTCTTCTTGCTAAATGCAGCTTTTGCCATGGCAATCCTGGATTTAATTTCACAAGTACACCTTCCATCATCTGTTAACAAGCTACCCAAATATTTAAAACATTTCACATTCTCCAGTTGTTTTTGGTCTATCTTTATTGTGACTGGGGTTGGTTGTCTCGAAATTTTCATTACTTTTGTTTTCTCCACATTCATTTCCATGCCATAGCACCTTCCAATTTCAATTAGTCTATCAATCATGCCCTGTAGCACAGTTTCTTCCTTAGCCATTAACACAAGGTCATCTGCATATTTCACAGTTTGAATAATTTGCCCTCCTACTTTGAAGTCACCGAGCCCATCCAGAGCTTCCTTGGTAAGGCATTCGCTGTACAAGTTGAACAGAATTGGTGATAAACAGCATCCTTGTCGAACTCCTCTTCCAATCTGCACACTTCCTGTCTCCCCCCTGTCCAGTCGTACTCTAACTTTCTGATCCATGTACAATTTGCTAATCAATCTTCTTTCATGCCAATCGATACCTGTTTCTTTCAGGATCTGCATTAATTTGGTCCAGTTTACCCGGTCAAATGCCTTCTGCCAGTCTATGAAGCAAACACACAGTTCTTCATCTATCTCCAAAGTTCGTTCCGCTATAATTCTCATCATTCCATTTGCATCTGGTTCCTTTTCCTCTTCTAAATCCAAACTGATCTTCTCCAAGTATATCCTCTATTTTCCTTTCAATTCTTCTTTTAAGTATCTTTGCTATTATCTTTGCTGTATGTACAATAATGCTTATTGTGCGATGGTCGCTGCATTTTGTAGCTTTTGTCTTTTTCTTTAAGGCAATCATTGTAACTTCTGTACAGTCCTTGGACCACTCTCCAATTTCATATATGGTGTTCATTAGTTTTTTCAGTGTTTTCACACCACCTTCTCCCAGTAACTTGAGCACATCTCCAGGTACATCATCATCTCCTGTAGCCTTTCCCTTCCTCATTTCCTTGATAGCTTTTTCCACCTCACTTTGTAAAATATATGGTCATTTCTCGTCTGTTTTCCTATATAATAGACGGAAAATACGTGTATTATGAACCCAACATTGAAATCCGTCATCTTGCAGATAAGAAGTATTGATGCAAAGATACGTATGTATTCATGACTCTAGCACTCATAAGCCACTCATAAAACTCAGCACTGGAAGAATACGAAGCATGGGTTCCAAGAAACTTTGTATAAAAATGACGACAGCTGGCGACACAGAGGTTACTGTTGCCAGACACAGTGCGTCTGCAGAACGGCCGCTGCGAATTGCGTACACACTGCATTACCGTAATTCCATGCTTCACCATAATGATTTTATTATCTGGAGAGATACTGCTTAGTGTCAGAAATTATCTTTCTTGTATTTTGTTAAACATCCCCCAAGTTTATGGGTCCCATAAAGAAAAATTATAGGTTATAAAGAGTCTATGCTGTGCGTCACTTGTACGGTTTTGATATGGTGAGAATATTTTAATCGCAACATTTAAATTTTACTGTCCTGTATTAGTACGTAAAGTAAAGGTATCCCTGTAACAGGCCGTGGAGGCCCACAGGGTTGTGAGATGTTGAGGTTCCCACATTTTCTAGACAATCTGCTCATAGATGGTGGTAAGGTTGTCAGCCCTACGCGCCGGCCGCCCTTTACCCCCAAGAATATTCCAAGAATATTCCTGATACTAATTTCTGTTAGAGGCTGAGCCCACCCTAGGGCCATAGTGCGGCCGGAAGGATTAGGTCAATTGAAAAAAATCCAATGACCTCATCGAGAATTATACTCGCGCCCTTCCGGTTTGTAGCATAGTGCCTCAACCAAACATGCTACCGCGTGCCCCCACCTTCCTATATGAGTTATTTTATTGGGCCGATGTTTCAGTTCATAGCTTCAACTGTAAGCTCCTTAATAATATTAAAGTGATCTTGGGAAAGTAGCTAACGAGGCTGAGAGGTAAATGGGACTAGCTCAGGATCGTGTCCAATTCCGGTTTTAGCGGCGTTGAACTATAGGACGAAAGTTAGTTTAGTTAAAAAGTCAAACACGAATATATTACTGTCAGAGCTTTAAATTTAAACTATTTTAAAAATCGAGTATTAAAAAGAGTGCGTTGTTAGATTCCATATCGTAAATTTTCAAGGAAGTGAATTTTGTGATAGTAGAATACTTCGGATCAGTCCTCTAAGGCAAAAGTTTTTTTTATTCAAGGAGAGAATTGCTCCTCCGATGGTTAGGAGAATAAAATAGTACTTTGTCAGACACATTACACCCATCTGTCACAACATTCTGAGAAGTTAGTAAGTCCGTGTTTTATTACTGTAGCCGGATTCTTGCTGCAGACTCCACTGGATAAGGATACGTATCCTTTGGAATTTTCGAGTCTGTGTCTATGTGACACCTATTACATTTCGAACCTATAGACCTACGCCAATCCTCACGAGACTCCGCATAAAATTACACCACTGACAGAAATCTCGACGCCATTTTTATCAATCCTCTCCCTCGAGTAATAAAACAGAGGCTTCGTGAAATCTTTAGGTTGGAATATTCAGCATGTGACCTTCACATTGTGTAATATAGGTCATGTAACGAGCCATGTAAGAGCCATGGGCAAAACTGATTCTCTTTTACATTCCATTACAGCTTATGAGATGCGAAATGTGTGTATACTCGTACGAGTATGT